CAAAAAAAAAAAAAAAAAAAGGGTGTGATACATGTTCTCACTCATAAATGTACCTTGAACAATTATCATAATACTATAAGAAAAGGAGGATGTAGGGTACAATTTAGGGTGAGGTATACAAATGCTCATTCTGCAGGAACCCTTGTGAATGAGGTGTGATCCACCTCCCCTGGAAGATTCCCACTACTGTCAATCCCACCCCCACCACCAGCAGTTTCTCACTACTGCCAATCCTTTTCTTAAAGTATTACAATAATTGTTCAAGGTCCGCTTCTGAGTGAGAACATGTGATACTCAGTTCTTTGTTTCTGTGAAAGATCACTGAGTCTTATAGACTCTAAGTCCATCCAGGTTGCTGTGAAGTTCATGATTTTGTCTTTCTTTATGGTTGCATAGTATTCCATCATGTATATGTACCACATTTGTTTCATCCCGTTTTCTTTTGATAAGCAGCATGGTTAGTTCCATGTTCTTGCTACTGTGAACAAGGCTGCGGTAAACATACGTGTGCAAGTATCTTTTTCATAGATTTGAGTTCTTCTGGGTATATTCCCAATAGGGGGATTGTGGGACCGTATGGAAGGTCAATTTTTAAGGCCAGACTCAGTGGCTCAGCCTGTAATCTCAGCGCTTTGGGAGGCCGAAGCAAGTGGATAGCCTGAGCCCATGGGTTCGAGACCAGCCAGGGAAATTTGGCAAGACCTCATCTCTACAATTGAAAAAACTAAAAATTAGCAGGGCATGGTAGTGCTCACCTGTAGTTCCAGCTGAGGTGGAAGGATCACTGGAGCCCAGCAGGTCGACGCTGGGGTGGCTGTGAGTGTGCCACTGCACTCCAGCCTGGGCAACAGAGTGAGACTCCAACTCAAAAAAAAAAGGCAAAGAAAAAATGGTATGATAAAATATTTTACTTTCATTATCATATTTACTCTGCATTATGATTCTATGTGGTAGATAGAACTTTTGTAGATAAGTTCAAATATTAAAGCGTAAGCAACAAATAGGTTTGTCACACAGAAGAGGCAGAACTCAAAAGCAGGTGTGAACTCAGAAGCCTGGGGGCATATTCTTAGAGCGTACAGATTTTACTTTGTAATTTTACTCTTTCCATTTGGTTAAGAATGGATTTCAGGCTGGGCACAGTGGTTCACAACTATATTCCCAGAACTTTGGGAGGCTGAGGAGGGAGAATGCCTATGAGTTTAAGACCAGCCTGGGCAATACAGTGAGACCTCTTCTCTACCAAAAAATCCCAAAAAGATGCCTAATACCATCAGTTATTCTAAGAAAAATTAGAAGGAGTTTAAATAATACAATAAAATTTGCAGGGAGAGATAAACCATGGTGTATACACAGTGGAAAACGCACAATTCCTCAAATCTGTGTTTATAAAATGTATGACATATTGATACTTCTGGTATAATTCAACATTTTTGAAATCATAAACAGGTTTATATAGCACAACTATCTAAAACAACCACAATAAAATATCCATATCAACAACATAAGGGAAGGTAGATTCTATGTACTTTCCTATTACAATACCTAGATTTGTTTTTATTTTTTTATATGCATTTATTTATTTTTAGTCAGATTTCCATTCTGCCGCCCAGGCTGGAGTGCAGTGGCATGATCACAGCTCACCGCAGGCTTGACCTCCTGAGTTCAGATGATCCTTCCACTTTAGTCTCCTGAGTGCCAGGGCTATAGGCATGCACCATCATGCACAGCTAATTTTTTAACTCTTGGTAGAAGAGCAGGCCTCGCTATGTTGCCCCAGCTGGTTTCAAACTCCTGGGCTCAAACAATTCTCTCACCTGGGCCTCCGAAAGTGCTGGGATGAGAGGTGTGAGCCATCATGCCCGCCCCTTTGTTCTTATTTACTTGAGGCATAGATTCTTCCATTTCTTGGTTTCCTTCGCTTTTCTTTTTACTTGTTTTTTTTTCTACATCCTCTTTGACATTTCGTGAGAAGCCGGGGCATATAAAAATAAGTCACTATAAGCCTGAAATCACTTAATTTCACCATTATAAAATTCGTAGTTGAAATTGATATGTTAAAGAGCACTTAATTTTTAAAGAAAATGCTGCTAATACACATCAAATGCTTTTGATGATGCAAAGCACTAGGTTACCCATTAACTCTTGTTTGATTAGGTAAGAAAGATGTAAAAAACGTATTTTAAATGACAGTTTCCACAAAGTGTATTTTAAAACAATGCTTATTCTGAATCTTGCCATTATAAAACTAGGGTTCTAAGTGCCTCTACTTAAGAAGAATAACAATCTTCCCTGCCTTACTCAGAAATCTGTTTTGATAATTACGAGGACTGCTGACTTATAATGGTGAAATTGTATTTGTTATAGAAAATTACAAGTAGAGAATAGGTATAGTATTTGTTCACTTAATGCTGAAAACTGTGTCATAGGAGGTTAAATTTATGTTTTTCAATCTTTAAGGTCCTTTATTTCCTCTTTACCTTACTGCTTTTCCTGACCTCATTTCTCTTATTCTCTCTCCAGCCACACTGAACTCTCAACTTTTCCGAGAATATTCCAGGTTATACTCTCAACAAATCCCTTACTCATTAAATTGGGTAATAAACAGGAGATGCTAAATGGTCATGACTAGTCAGAAGTTAATCCATAGGTTGAAAATAAATTTTCTTAAAGCATATTTAGACTGTGACAAGATCATCTGGGCATCTATTTTAAAATAGGAGGTGGACTGAAGGAGAAATCGGTTTGGGTTAGTATGAGACGGCTTCCTAAATGCTTAAGATAACTAAAGCCTAGGGTGGTCCTCTTTGCTGATGTCCATATAGATAGTTAAAATATATTTAACTACTTTCATTGTGTTTAATATTAGTTTTGAAATCAATATGATTTCCTGTGGAATGGTTCTCTGGGTGATTAGCTACAAGTTTTTCTCATATAGCTATAAGGCTGGTTCATTGGAAATACCGACATCATTTAAGATTGCTTTTCACAAAAGCTTGGTTTTCAAGTGACACATTTTCTGTAGAATTAAAAGCATTTTAAGTGCAGCGGATTCCCTCAGATGCCCTTTAGAATTTTAACAAAGTCTTATTCTCAAGCCTTTCTGAAAGACAGAAACACACACACACACACACGCACGCACACACACACACACACACACACACACACACATACACACCTCGGAAAGGTGCACATTTTCTCAGATAGTACCAGGGCATTCTCAAGATGGGTTATGTATGATTCCAAGACCATCCTAAAGGTACACAGTGACTATGGCAGCGACATCTCCAGCCCGACCTCCCCACATCCATTCTTCAAAACACAAAGTGGACCATCCTAGTGAGGAAAGAAGAACCACTCTTTCGGCTCTCTCGCTACTGCTTCGGCTTCCCGCCCCCCCCCGGACGGCGAGGCCGGGCCCGGCTGTGGATGGCCAGATAGCCCCTGTCTTCCGCCGCCCATCTCTGGCCTCTACCAGCACGGAGCAGACGGCGGCCGCAGCAGCAGCAGGTGAGGAGGAAGATGGCGGGACAGCTGCGGCCTGTGTGGTGGACTGTGGCACGGGGTATACAAAACTAGGATCTGCTGGAAATACAGAACCACCGTTTATTATCCCTTCCTGTATTGCTATTAAGGAGTCAGCAAAAGTGGGTGATCAAGCTCAAAGAAGGGTGATGAAAGGTGTTGATGACCTAGACTTCTTCATTGGCGATGAAGCAATAGAAAAACCTGCATATGCGACAAAGTGGCCAATCCGCCATGGTATAGTTGAAGATTGGGACTTGATGGAAACGTACATGGAGCAGGTGATCTTTAAATACTTAAGGGCAGAACCTGAAGATCATTATTTTCTTTTGACTGAACCTCCACTGAATACTCCAGAAAACAGGGAATATACTGCTGAAATAATGTTTGAGTCTTTCAATGTCCCAGGCTTGTACCTTGCTGTGCAGGCTGTTCTTGCCTTAGCTGCATCCTGGACTTCAAGACAAGTAGGAGGACGGACATTGACTGGTACAGTAATAGACAGTGGAGATGGTGTCACTCATGTCATTCCTGTGGCTGAAGGGTATGTGATTGGCAGCTGTATTAGACACATTCCAATCGCAGGACGGGATATAACATTTTATTCAGCAACTGCTGAGAGACCGAGAAGTAGGAATCCCTCCAGAACAATCCCTGGAAACTGCTAAGGCAGTAAAGGAGCGCTATAGTTATGTCTGCCCAGATTTAGTAAAAGAATTTAACAAGTATGACACAGATGGGTCAAAATGGATTAAACAGTATACTGGAATCGATGCTATCTCAAAGAAAGAATTGTCTATTGATGTTGGTTATGAGAGATTTTTGGGAACCTGAAATCTTCTTTCATCCAGAGTTTGCTAATGCAGACTTTACACAGCCTATCTCAGAAGTTGTAGATGAAGTAATTCAGAATTGTCCTATTGATGTCAGACGTCCTCTGCACAAGAATATTGTCCTCTCTGGAGGTTCAACCATGTTCAGGGACTTTGGACGTCGCTTGCAAAGAGATTTGAAAAGAACTGTAGATGCCCGGCTGAAATTAAGTGAGGAACTAAGTGGCGGTAGATTGAAGCCAAAACCTATTGATGTACAAGTCATTACACACCACATGCAGCGATACGCAGTCTGGTTTGGAGGGTCAATGCTGGCTTCCACGACTGAGTTCTACCAAGTTTGCCACACCAAAAAGGCTTATGAAGAAACTGGACCTAGTATTTGTCGTCACATCCAGTGTTTGGAGTCATGTCGTAAAATTGACTTCATAGTTATTGGGGTTAGGGTGTTGGGGAAGAGATAATCTTTATGATTACCTGTTTTGTCTAGATGTCTGGTTTTAAGGTTTTAAACCTGACTTGAAACTGTAAGACCAAATATGATTATACAGGAATTTTTTTTTTTTTGAGTTGGAGTCTCACTCTGTCGCCCAGACTGGAGTGCAGTGGCCACTCCTGGCCACTGCAGCCTCGACCTGCTGGGCTCCGGTGATCCTTCCGCCTCAGCCTTCCAAGTAGCCGGAATTACAGGCACGCACTACCACGCCCGGCTGATTTTTTGATTTATTGTAGAGATGAGGTCTTGCTGCCCAGGCGGATCTCGAACCCGCGGGTTCAGGCAATCCAGTCACCTCAACCTCCCAAAGGCGCGGGATTACAGACTGAGCCACCAAGCCCAGCTTACAGGAATATTTTAATAAGTGTATCAACATGAAGATATAGAGGAGAACGAAAGTGATTGCTTTTCTTTAGATTGAATATTTGAATCTTATGTGTAACAAAAAGAAGTGGGATTTAGTTCTTTCTGTGCCCTGATATTTTGTATATTAATGAATTATCCAAGATTTGATGGGATTTATCAGTGTGTAGATAGCTCTATAATGCTTGAATTGTACACTTCTAAGTGTGCAATGCAACAGCTTTTTTATATTTCATACTTTTTATACTTTGAGGAAAAAAAGTCAAAGAAAAACTGTAGTATTTGAGAGAAAAAAATGACCAAGTAGAGGATAAATTTAAAAAACAGCCTCATGAGACTTGGCATACACATTCATGGGAGTCCAGTTATTATGAAGTACTTCCATCCCCTTCCACCCCTTCTCCCCAAAAGGTTTTCTTTGCAAGTGCTTTTGGAACTAAGAGCTAGTATCTTGGATTAACTGATGCCTGCTAGTGCTTTCTGATTACTTGCATTCTGTCTCTTGCTTTAAAAGAAAAGTAAAGACAAGACTGTTGGACCAGTATTGCAGTTATGTAGTGTCATTTCTTATTAAAAAAATAATAATTTGATTAAAATTGGCATATTTAAAGCCTAACAACATTCTAATAAAGGCACAGATTTCTTTTTAATACTTGTTTCAAGCTCTTTAATCTCTTTATAAGTTAACTAATAAGTCTATTTTCTTCAAACCTCTGCAATAGTTCTTTAAAATCACAACAGTTGCTTATTAGCAAGCTGACTTTTTTATGTGCTCTATACAAATATTTGTGAACTTTAATATGTTGAGTGCTTTCATTTTGATAACTGGATCTCCATTTGATATTTTCATTTGTATAACTCATTTGCAGTCTGAATTTTTTTTTAGTGCCAGTCCCTAACATATCATTGAAAATTAATTTTCTTTGCATTTTAAAATATCTGAATCATGAAGAAAAAGTGATGAAAATAAACTGAAATTGAAAAAAAAAAAAAAAAGAACCACTCTTTTTCTCCCATGATCATTTCTTATTGTTTTAATTTAAAGCAGTGGTTCTCAAAGTGTTCTTCCCAGATGAGCACAACATCAGAATCACATGGGAACGTATTAGAAATTCAAATTCTCCAGCAGCTTCACACTTCCTGGGTCAGAAACTCTGGGGCCGGAGCCCAGCAGTCTGTGTTTCACAGGCCCACTGGATAATTTCAAGGCAAGTTAACTTTTGAGAGTTTGTTGTAGAGCAGCCCTTTCAAACTTGGCTGCACATTGGAATCACCTGAGTTTTAAAACTACAGTTGTCTGTGCCCTACCCTCAGATACCATGAAGGATCAGCAGCTGGGGAGTAACCTGGCCTCAGGACTCTTTATATTCTAAGGTTAATTCTAATATGCAGCAATGCAAGCAAAAACCACTGAATAACACCTTATTTTACTCCTTACCCATGAATATAAGCCTGACTGAAAGTTTCTGGAAAGCAAAAGAAACCATCAAGGAGCAGGGAGACAATCCTCAGAATGGGAAAAAATATTTGCCAACTGTATAACTGACAAAGGCCTAACATCTAGGATCTACAAGGAACTCAAATATGCCAAAAGGAAATAAATAAACAACCTCCTTAAAAAGTGAGCAAAAGACATGAATATCTTCAAAAGAAGATATACAGGCAGCCAGCAGACACATGAAAAATTGCTCAACCTTACTCATCATCAGAGAAATTCAAATCAAAGCCACACTGAAATATCACCTGACTCCAGGAAGAATGGCCATCATTAACAAACCAAACAACAACAGATGCTGGTGAGGATACGGAAAAAAAGGAATGCTTCTACACTGCTAGTTGCAATGCAAACTGGTGCAACCTCTTTGAAAGACAGTGTGGCAATTTCTGAAAGAACTAGACATTGACCTTCCATATGACCCAGCAGTCCCCCTATTCGGAATATACTCGGAGAAACTCAAGTCATTCTACCAAAAAGATACCTGCAACACATGTTTGTTGCAGCTCTATTCACAACAGCAAAAACATGAAACCAACCATGCTGTCCATCGAAACTGGACTGGATTTTTAAAAATGCAGTACATACACACAATGGAATATTACGCAGCCATAAAGAAGGACAAACATATGGACTTCGCAGCAACTTGGATGGATTTAGAGTCTATCATACTCAGTGATCTATCACAGAAACAAAGAACAGAGTACCATAAGCGGACTTTGAACAATTATCCTAATACTATGAGAAAGGGACTGCAGTAGTGGGAAACTGCCGGTGGGGGGGAGGGGCACACCTCATCAAGGATACCTGCATAATGAACATTTGTATATCAACCCTGAATCGTACCCCACATCCTTCAAATAAATAAAAAAATATTTAAAAGAAAACTATTTTAACTCTCAAAAAAAGAAAACAAAACAAAAGAAACCTGCCTGGGAAAAGGTGCCAGCTCAGTGGGCTGGAACCTTATTAAATATAAATAAACAAACAAACATTGGGTACTCTACCTGAAGAGACCTTGGTTATATGTGAGCTCAGGTTCCAACCCAGCTTGATTCCCCAGATGTGTACTGAATCTCATTCTTCACCTGAGCACCCAGATGTTCCTTGTTACACCCAGAGCTCAAGTCTGAGGAAGATCACCTGAGCTAATGGCAGCAGTTAGGAGAGGATTTGCAGAAAATAGTCTAATTAAACTTGATTTTTTTTTCAGTGATGTAGAGTACTATTTACGGTTAGGTACATAAGTGACCATCGTACAGGTAAATTTGGGTGCCCTTATTGATATGTCCTCCAGTCCCTACTCTGGCAATGTCCCACTACTGCCAATCCTTTTCTTATAGTATTATGATAAATGTTCAGGGTCCACTTATAAGTGAGTAAATGTGGTACTCATCTTTATTTCTGTGATAGATCACTGAGTATGATAGACTCTAAATCCATCCAAGTTGCTGCAAAGTCCATAATTTTGTTTTTCTTTATGGCTGCATAATATTCCATCATGTACATGTACTACATTTTCTTTATGCAGCCACTTTCAATGGAAGCACGGTTGGTTCCATGTTTCCACTATGGTGAATAGTACTGCGATAAACAGGCATGTCCAAGTACTTTTTTTTTTTTTTTTGAGTTGGCATCTCACTCCGTTGCCCAGGTTGGAATGCAGTGGCACACTCACGGCCACCCCAGTGTCGACCTGCTGGGCTCTGGCGATCCTTCTACCTCAGCCTTTCAAGTAGCCGGTAATACAGGCCCGTGCTACCACACCCAGCTAATTTTTTTTTTGTTTTTTTGTAGAGATGAGGTCTCTCCAAGTTCCCAAACCTGTAGGCTCAGGCAGTCCCCTTCCCTCGACCTCCCAAAGTGCTAGGATTACAAGCTTGAACCACTGAGCCCGATCTGGTACTTTCTTTGTAGAGTGATTTGAGTTCCTCCAGGTATATTCTCAGAAGGAGGGTTGCTGGATCATATGGAAAGTCAATTTTTAGATCTTTTAAAAATCATCACACTGTTTTCCACAGAGGCTGTACTAGTTTACACTCCCGTCAATAGTTCCTTTTTGCTGCATCCTCTCTAGCATCTGTTTTTTGAGTTATTGATGATGACTATCCTGACTGGCGTTAGATTCTATCCCCATGTGGTTTAATTTGCATTTCTTTGATGACTAATGAGATTGAGCATTTTTTCATGTACATGTTGGCTGCTCATATGACTTCTGAGAAGTGTCTATTCGTATATTTCACCCACTTTATAATAGGGTTGTTTGTTTTTGTCTTTGAGTTCCCTGTAGATCCTATAGGCATTTGTCAGATTTACAGCAAATATTTTTTCCCATTCTGTGGTCTCTCTCTCCCCTCTCTAGATGGTTTTGCTTTGCCAAAGCTTTTCAGTTTGATGAGATCCCACTTGTCTATCTTATATCTTATGGCAGTCACTTTTGGATAACTGATCAAGAATTGGTTGCCTACTCCAATGTGCCTAAGACTGTTTCCTATGTTATCTTCTAGGATTCTTACAGTTTGAGGTTTTACATTTAAGTCTTTGATCCATTTCGAGTTGATTGTTGTATATGATAATAGGTAGGATTCCTGTTTCGATCTTTGGCATATGGCCAGTCAGTTTTCCCAGACAATTTACTGAATAAGTTCTCCTCTCCCCAGCGGTTGATGGTAGAGGCTTTGTCAAAGATGAGTTGATTGAGAAATTGAGGTTTTACTTCCACAATCTCTATCCTGTTTTGTTGGTCTATATGCCTGTTCTTGTACCAATACCAGGCTGTTTTGATTAGGTAGCTTTATAGTAGAGTTTGAAGTCTGGAAGTATGATACGTCCTGCTTTGTTTCTTTTGCTAAGGATTGTTTTGGCTATTTGTAGTCATTTATGTTTCCATATGAATTCCTGTACTGTCATTTCCAGGTCTGAGAAGAATGCTGTTGGTAATTTAATGGGTATAACGTTGAATATATAGACTGGCTTTGTTAGGCTGGACATCTTGACAATGTTGATTCTTCCAATCCATGAGCATGGAATATTTTTCCATTTGTTTGTGCCTTCTTTAATTTCTTTGAGAAGTGTTTTGTAGTTTTCACTGTAAAGGTCTTTCACTTCTCTGGTTAAAAAGATGCCAAAGTATTTCATTTT